GACCGAGTCGAATTAGATCAAATACGCACCCACTTGGGTTCAATCGCAAAGCGACAAAAAATCGTGAAAACTAGATTAAACTTTTCTGACTGTTCTGATAAAGCGGGGTGAGCTTATAACAAAAATCACATGCGGCCTGATCCGTTTATTACAAAAGCGGGTAAACTCGTCCCTAACCCAAAATTTGTTAATATACCGTTTGGTATAAATGAATTCCATAAGTTTTGCGGAATTCATTTTGAAATGAAACATTTTTGTGTTTGGTATTTAAAAGAATTTATTTTCAATTCTAAATTTTGAATTCTATGGAATTGGTACTAGTTATAGCAATTCCGAGGAATTGAGATGGAATTTCCAAATGAATTCCACAACTATTACTAATTATAATAGAATCACATAATTATCCTCTTTATTCACTAGATTACTTATATATATGACATACCAAACACAACATTTCATTTGACAATGAATTCTATAAGGTAATTCATTTTACAACGAAATGAATTCTTGATTCATTTGGTAACAAACTGTATGTAACACTGGATTCAACTTTTTTCTTAACAGTATGATAAAGCGGGGTAAGTTTCTATCAAAATTCACACGCGACCCAATATTTTGATTACAAAAGTGAGTAAAACTCGTCCCCAACCCAAAAATTATCAAGTTGGATTCAACTTGATAAAGCGGGACGTGTTTTTAACAAAATCCATACCCGACCATTTCGTTAATTCCAAAAGCAGATAAAATTCGCACCCGACCCAAAATTTGCGTTTAGTCATAAGAGAAAATATGTAAAACATTTGATGAATTATAAAAATTTTAACAACAAAACAATTCTAGTTGATGTGGCTTTACCAAATAGGAACTTTTGTGCTTGTTCTTTTAAACTGGAAAAATTAGGTCAAATATCCATTGATTTAAGCGTGTAAGCAAAAAGTTCGTTAACACCAGGTCGAACTCGCTTTAACCGGGCCGACATTATGTCAAATACTAAGCGTGTAAGCAAAAACTCTATCAGTTGATTTAAGCGTGTAAGCAAAAACTCTATTCCTTGATTTAAAGGTGTAAGGAAAAACCTCGCCAACGTCGGGTCGAGCTCGCTTTAACCGGGTCGACATTTGGTCAAATACCCATTGATTTAAGCACGTAATAAAAAAACCCGTCAACGTCGGGTGGAACTTGCTTTAACAGGGTCGACATTAGCTCAAATACCCATTTGACGTGTTCAACTTGCTTTAACCGGGTCGAAGCAAGTTAAGCGTGTAAGCAAAACCTCGCTTTAACCGGGTTGACATTAGGTCAAATACCCATTGATTTAAGCGGGCAAAACTTATTGGTGAGCCAAAATTTATCAACACCAGGTTCAACTTGCTTTAGCCGAGTCGAATTAGATCGAATACCCATTGATTTTGGTTCAATCTCGGCTCAAGTATCATTAGTTAATTAATTGGAACCTTAATACAACCTTAAAATTGATTTAAGCGAGCAAAACTCATTGGTGAGCCAAAATTTGTCAATATCGAGTTCAACTTGCTTTAGCCGATTCGAATTAGGTCGAATACCCATTGATATCATGAGTTAATTAATTGTAACCTTAATAGAACCTTCAATGTAAAAAAAAATTTCAAACTTTAATAGTTAATTAATTGGAACCTTAATAGAACCTTCAAATTGATTTAAGCGGGCAAAACTCATTGGTGAGGCAAAATACGTCAACACCGTGTTCAACTTACTTTAGCCGATTCGAATTAGGTCGAATACTCATTGATTTTGGTTCAATCTCGGCTCAAGTATCATTAGTTAATTAATTGGAACCTTAATAGAACCTTCAATTTGAACTTAGTTGTCACAAACTAATTAATTAGATCCCTAGTGTAAAAAAACCCTTTAAACTTTGGTCAATTACAAAAGACCACCTCTTGTGATGTGACACTACGCAATAGTAACCTTCTACTTGTTCTTTTATAGATAAAAATAAATAATATACATATATGTGTGGGGAGTTCTACGGTACCCAGGGTGAAATCCGGGGTACTGCACACCTTGAGTAAGAAAACGCTATCCAGAACTTGAATTGACTGATCTTTCGGACATGATACTATACTCTAACCCTTAATTATCAAAATCTAGGTCTTAATTCTCTAAATCTTATATCTCAAGATCAATTTAATTAGAAACAATAATCGATGGTTATGATTCGTCCAAATATAGGCAAAAAATCAATGCACCATTTTAGGGTTTATAGTTCATAATTTAGATAATTAGGAGCTAGGGTTCGCTCATTTAAGGGTTAGGGTATATTATCATGCCCAAAAATCCTGCAAATTCGAGGTCTAAATAGCGTTTTCATACTCAAAATATGCGATACCCCAAATTTCACCCGGGGTACCGTAGAAGGCACCGTGTATGATTATATAATTCTACTGTAAGCTTTGATTAGCGATAGAGTATGGGTGAATCATATATAGGGTGTGTATTTCTTGGGTTGGTAGGATAATGTATGAAATTTGTAGGGACGTGTTTCGTTGGCGAAACTCGCGTGTTCAATGCGCACTGTTTTCAAGGAAACAAAAACACAAAGTCAACACAACCGTCAAATATCCGCCGCCGGCGTCGGCGATGTTGATTTGATCGATACACCTTTGACTTCTAATCAAACAACCGTTAGTCGGTTCACCACCTCTCCAAACTACGTTCGAACGAGGGTGTTCGGCGAATAACCAGAAAATCGAACCAGGAGGACTAAGTTACGTTACCTCTACTCCTATGGAGGTTCCTCTGGAGAGCTCCGCAACTACGACTAAAACTACTACGACTCTGCAAAGGAGGTCTTTGACAGAGCGGTTCTACGAAACTACGGAGAAAAACTGATAGATCTGCGACGGTGCAGTTTGAGATTTGATTTTGCCGTCCTGAGCTTCTCTCTCTTCCCAATCTTTATACTTCGCGCTTCTCCCCGTCGTAGTAACTGCCTTCGCGCCTTTGTCTCCCACGTCTTCACTCCTGTCAACCGTGCAGGTAACTTCCTCCTTGTTACGTGATAATCACGTTCCCTTGAAACCGCTCCTGCAGAAACTTGGCAAAGCGACCTACAACCTTGTCCATGTAACGATGCCGTTTCACCAATACCACGGCATCGCCTTTCCCCAACCGGTGCCGTTTTATAATCCAACTCAACTGCCCCGACCTGGTTTAACCAACGACATTGTTAGTCCATCAAACAACGTCGTTCTCTACTCTTGCGACGTCGTTGGGCTTGGCGGGCTGCCTTCGGCCGAACTCTTACCACTACCGCGATGTCGTTTTACTTTTCCGCGGCATCGCTTTTCATTAAACGACACCGTCTAAAATACTCATAAAATACTAATTAATTAAATCAGCCCTCATTGTTAACTCGCCGTCAAACTCTCACCCCGGCGTCGTTCTTAGTTAAACAACATCGTTTCCTTGACCCGCGATGTCGTTGAGTTTTTTAGCTTCGCGACACTGTTTTAATTTTAACACTGTCGTTTTAACTGCTGCGGCATCATTTGGCCTACTTGCGGTATTGTTTTATAATCCGCGGTGTCGTTTCTTTCCTCTTGCGGCATCGTTTTCAACTAAACGACACCGTTCTAAAAAAATCATTTAATTAATCCGGCCACCACTAGTCAAACTCGCGTGTTGACCCACGACTTCATTAGCGCCCAAAATGGCTTCGTTTGCCTTTCCCTTCGCGACATTGTTTTTTATTTAAACACTGTCGTTTGCTAATCCGCGGTACCGTTGGGCTTACTCGCGGTACCGTTTTTAAGTAAAGGACACCGCTGGCACAACCAAAAAATACCAGTTCCTTGAACGGCCGCGCGTTTACACTCACTCGCATTGGGCTGGGCGGATTTTGGTCACTTACGCGATATGATTTTTTTGATTAACCGGTACCGCTTATCAGGCTCTGGCGGCATCGCTTTTGGATCCGCGGTACTGCTTATCTCCATGCGGAACCGATTTTCACCTTCCGACAAGGAGTAAAAAAATAATAATAATTAGAATTAAAAATTCCCTTTTTCAACCCTCAACCAACCGCGTGGCCCCCTTTTGTTTTTTGGCCAACAACGTCGTTTCCAGTGCCGCGGTGCCGCTGAACTTCCTTGCGGTACCGTTTTTCTGTTTCGCGGTATAGTTTCTGTTAGGAACGGAACAACAAAAGGAACGAGGTTACCGAATCTGGAGCTGAGTCGCGGACTAGGTCGCTTTCTTTAAGACGTTCGCGGCACTGCCTTCGATGCGCACGGCAGACTATCAACCGGTCGTCTCCAGGATAAAACAGCTCCTCTCAATACTCGCGGTTTTGTGCGAAAACCGAAGCTCTCTAAACACTCTCTCTATTGTGTTTCTGCTCGTTGTGATGTGTTTAGAGGGGCTGGGGAGGCGGCAATTTATAGGAGCCGAACCCCTAGGAATATACCTCAGAATAACAGATTTAATAATTAATTATTAAATAATTAATTTCGTTCGGAATTTCTCCAAAAATATATATATAGTCTCAAGTGAACCAACCAACCAACCGACCGGCCGGTCGGACGGCGCGCGTGTATGTGGTGGTCCATTAGGTCCTCCCTCTCCCACAAAAGTGGGGTCACCCCAAGGGGCATGCCCTTGGGAGAGAAGCTCCTATCTTTATACACATTTCACCAAGTAAAACTACCAATGTGGTAGTTTTTCCACTAGAGACTCTATAGTTTTCAAAGCTATTCATATACATTCATTTCCAACAGTTTCAACTCCCCGCGACACCGCTTGACTCCAAACGACACCGTTTTTTACCCGCGGTATCGGATTAAATGCCGAGACTAATTAATGCGGCATTTAATTCCGGCCAAATTAATTTTAGGTGTCAACAGGACAAAAACAAATCAGGTTGGAGTTGAGAATATCAAAATTATGCTCATACTTGATTGGGTTTCGTGTATCTAAATTATTCCTAGATAATAACTTTTTATTTATAACTTCAACCAACATGTTAACAATTTTATGTATTCTGACATTACCTAAATGATAGATTAGAATAACAAATTAACATAAGAAAGACAATTAGTTAAAATGATACTTATATATATGTATAAAATTAATAAATATAAAATATATCGAGAAAATATAATGATAACGTATCTTTCTCCCGACTCTTTTTTTTTCTTTCTCCGTGAGTCGTGTTCTTGGATCTACCGATATAATGTGAAAATTAATGATAATTTTTGAACAAAGTACATATGCTTGCATCTTGTGGAGCCGGTTTGAGTTGGATAGTGAAAACTCGATGCCCACTCGTCAACTCGCAATATTCGAGTTCTAGTTTTACCCATGCTCATTAAATTTTTTTAGGTTTGGGGTCTACCATACCGGCTCAATTAGGTCGGGCTCGAACAAAGATCCACGAATATTGTTATTTTTGCCATCCCCTAGAGTTCTGCTGTCACAATTGATTTGGGTATGATTCGATATATGTCGATTTATTGTTTGGGGATTGTTTAAACGGTACATATCTCCAATTCCATCATCATCATCACCCATAAAAATTTGATCTAGAGAAGCAGCTATAGACCTTTTCAGAATTCACTATACAAGCAGAAGGGTTCTCACAGTGGGTTTCCTTGAACCACAAAATGACACGAGCCCATCTTCATCGACGGCGCCGGAACCGGAGAGTCCGACGCCATACATGGACAGCCGTCGAACATCCCGTGCGATAGGGGACTGCCACGGGCCGTCCCACCAAGCCGGAGGAGAAAGCGGCGTGAAAGCACATTGATGGTCGGTCTGGTTCCGGCAGCTCAACGGACCTCCGAACCTGTTCCAAGCATGGCCCCAACCGATCTGATGACTCAACCCGTGAGACAGCAGAGTGCGTTGGAAGCTGCTCATGAATGAGAAGCTCGGATGTGCTCTGTTTTCCCCTGCCATGGATGAAGCTAGATCGAGATGTCAAAATGGATTTATGGGCACCTACGGTTAAAAACTAGTTCGCCCAATAATTCAGGTTTCGTTTGCATTTTATATCTCGTTTTTTTTCAGTCCTTCAAATGAAAGCCTCCTTGTAAGTTTTCAGTTTGCACATGTTCGAACATCATCTTTGCATGATAAATGGTGACCTCTCGGTCAAAGGCTATGATACTATGTTAATCAACAAATCATTTAATCCCAATAACTCATGTTATTGAGATTAGTTTGTTTTGGATAAGATATAGAGGTTGGTTTGATCTTGATGTCAAGTGTTCGAATCCTGACAACCCTCAATATAAACAATGGTTTAACACAACGCTGATATGACCAACATGTACAAATTGAAAGGCCACAACTAGACTTATTGTATATTTCACATCCAATCCACCAACTCAATCCATTCCATCCACTAAAATATACAATCAATCCAATCCATTTAATCCGAATTCAATACGATTGGTAGAATGGATTCATGGATATTTGAAAAACAACAATTTAGTACATATACTTTTTTTTGTTATATAGTTTAATACCTAAATTTGACCTTTTTAACAAAAAAATACTATTGAAAGTTGCCTTTTCAAAACCTAAAAAATTTCATCATGACATTTTAGCACCTAATCTTTTCAAGATTTACATGTTGATCTAATGTTTAGGTGTCAATTGGATCCATTTGCCATCTCTCTATTAGCAACTCGAGTTATTAAGAGTAGATTATTTGAATCGTTAACAAATTCGATCGGATAGACCATTACTTACCGAGCTGGTTGGCTGCAGCAAATGCTGCAATCAGCTGAGCATAAGTCGTCCCAACCCGCCGGTGAGCACCAGAAACGACGGCATGCTTAGCTCGCGCCGCGAGGAAGAAATCCACAAACGCGACCCATCTCGGCGCCGGCCCCCAATCCTTCACTCTCAAACTCATATTCTGGTCGTCGTCATGGTCAACAGAGGGCATATTTCCTTTGAACTTTTCATAATCGAAATGAACAACCTGTTTACAGAACAAAAAAAAAAAAAAAAAAACAGAACGAAGTAGTTTAGATTGTTGGGGGATCAAACATTGCCTCTGTAGCTATGCATTGCAGTGTTTTGGATTACCTCTGCGAATCGACTTATGTCGTCAATAAGGCTTTGTAGAACAGACGGTGTATCCGAAACCAAAACCAGCCTGCGTTTGCCCTGATTTGGCAGGTTATGCATCGCTTTCCTGACACAGTTCAGCGCTGCCTGCACTGCTCTCACTGGCCTGAAATACGATAGTGGTTAGGTATCATACATTGACCTCTTTCGACAACTCGATTTATTGAGACAAGTTAATCTACGAAGAAAGGATAGTTAAAAGCCTACCTATTCATAAGCATACGCATATGCAAAGAGATGTCAGGATCCGGGCCACCAGCAAGCACCATGTCCACCGCCTCCTTCACCTCTGGCGACGGAGAAATGAGAAACGACATCAGCTCGCCGAAGACATTTGGTCGAGAATCGAGCTGCTCCGAAGGTCCAAATAACTCAGCTGCAGCACTTCTCATCTCAGGGTGCACGTTCTTCAGGAAGAACTGGCTCGCAGTGGCATCGGTTGTGTTCTGAAACCTGCAGCCAGACATCAAAATTTGTCACATACTAACCAGTTGGGTGATGATGGGTTTAGCCAGAGACACATCAGTGCGTTCTAACATCGTTGGATCTAGTTTTTCCGCGATCTATCAACATAGTAGCAGGATCTGATTCAATTGATTTGTCACTTTACCATATAATTGACTGCTCCCACTTCCTCCAATTGCTGCAGAGGACGTTGGTTTTGGCCGGCTTCAGGAACTCGTCAATCCTTACAACCAACTGTCTTCCATATTTTTCCACACAGCCATTCTGCCTCCACAGATTCTGGACTTCATCCATGGTGAAGGTTTGATTGGAGTAGGTTATGTAGTCCCCAAAAGGATATTTACTCCTGAAGAAGTTGTTTAATTCTAAAAAATTTACTACTTTGAGCAACCTAAGTTTGCACATACTGAAAAATGAAACGAGACTCTAGAATGTAGGATCATGGAGAGGATGGAGAAAGAACCAATGTGTATATATATATGCCTGGTTTGACCAATGATCAAGGAGCGGTTCAGCATGATGCTCAAAGCTGCAGCATTTAAGATCTTGTACATCTCGTTCCCAAAACCTGCTTCTGATGATTTACCAAGCACGAACCCGTGTCTGCAGAATTCCTCCGGTGGAAGATCCTTCACTCTTGAAGCACCTGCACAACTTGACATTATTAGTGGTCTTAATAACTCGAGTTGTTAGAGATTGAATCATGAATGATAGACCATTAACACCCAGCTACTCGTATATATAGACATAAAATTTGTACAGATTCGGATGGCGCTTGTGTTTAACAATATATAAGGTCATTGAGATTTGAACATAAAACATCTCGATTTCAAAAGACTCAGATACCAAGTCAACAACCAAACTAATGGTCATAATAACTCGAGTTATTGAGAGATATTCAATTGTTGATAATATACTATTTACTAACAAAACTACCTATGCGTTAGAAATCGGACCGTCCCGTCGGATCGGAAATACCGGATATCAGAGCCAATTGACAATTTTAACGAGATGAAAAAGTTTGAACCATGGTTAAACTAATACAATATCAAGCATAAGCCAATTACCCGATATTTTCTAGTCAATGACTTAAATGATTGATATCAATTTCAATGGTTTCTATATTTACTCAAGTCAACGGCCGAAAGCTCACCGTTGATGAGAAAGTGCCGGCGAATGATCCGCCTGAGTTTCAGGCTTTCTTTCCAGGGTCCGTCCCTGAAGCTCTGGCCCATTTCCTCAACTGTAGCGCACGGCTTCTTCTCGTTAAGCTCAGCCATACCCCGGTTCTTGATCAGCGACAACGGAGGAATATTCACGGACGCCGGAGGGAGGAGAAGTAAGCCGGTGACGGCGACGGCGGCGAGGAGTGATGGTAATAAGGACAGCAGTACTCTTCTCCTGATCCGGCGCCCCCGGAATCCGTTGTGCTGGAAGTAGTTCTTCATGCCTCTCGACGGTGAACGGTGACGGAAAGTGGATGCGACTGGAATCGAAGATCAGCCTGGAGAAGCTCGTCGTTGGTGGAATCCTCTTCGCCATTGGTGTTTTATAGTTGTTGTTACAAGCTTTCTGCCGGGCAGGTGGTTTTTAGGTGGCCGATTATTGTCAAAATAGTAAAAGGAGGGAAAATCCCCTGTTCTGTTTTTATATCCAAACTCTGGATTCTGGAAGCTCTTTGACTTTGTATAGTCGTCGAGAAAAGGCCGAGAATTGGGCTGCGAGTTCACTGTGGGCCGGTAACTGTCTATGTAAAAAACCCATTTTCCTAGCCCAGTTTTCAAACGCCCATCTATTTAGGAATGACAATGGAGAGGTTGGTACGAGGTATCTCGATTCCAATACTCGTTCAATGATAGAGAGGAACTAAGTTGAATGATTTATTATCAGTCATGCTTCAGGTAGGTCGTCGACCATATAGTGTGTAATTTAAAGAAAAAATATTAAAAAGATTCATATTCTCATTAAAAAAGCTCAGAAACAAACTATAACATGATAATGATAAGTGTAGTTAAATTCCTGTAGAAATTGAGATTCTCATCTATGCATAAATTTGTTATAGCTGGATGTCCAGTCGAGAATAGTATCTATGCCTGTCACGTTCTGCCTACGAGGCAAGTGTTATCCACCCCAAACATGTGAAATATATCAGAGAAAATGAGTCAGGTCGAAATTATATTCAGCCATTCCTTGCATTTCACTAATTTATTTCATTGTTTCGTTTTTTCATTGCAATCTATTTAATATTATAAAAATTAATTATGAATCTACAAATATATTATAGCAGAGTTGGTGGCAGTTTTTCAGCATTTCAAATTTTGGGCCACGAGAGCGAAAGTAGGAAGGATAAGTTTGTCCTTACAATTATTATTTATTCCTTATCCATAAGAAAAAAAACATTTATCAGTCTCGGGGTTTGAACCATGATCTTTTTAGAGAAAGACAACAATCATTGCCACTTACACTAAAGAAATTGTTTGTATTTTTTAAATAAAGAAATAAAAAAACCTAACATCTGAAAATCATATGACTATTCTACTATTTGTAGCTAGCCCACTAACTCTCCCATAAGTACTTTCCTTGGTGTTTGATATTTGAATTTCATATTTCGATTATTTGAATTTGATTTTAATAATAAATTTAATTTACGTCTATCTTATAAATGGATCAGAATTTTAAAATTGCAACCTAAATATAATTTATTCAAATATTGCATATTAAATTATAGTAGTGAATGTTTAGATGTGATTATGAATTCTTAACTTAGTATTAATTATTAGAACTACCATAAAACAACGATATTGTTACGCAAACTATAAGTGATAAGTTCTTTGAAAGTTTTAGTTCACTTAGTAGTTAAATTCTAAATCTTTTGATAATACGTCATGATTGGACCCATGGGTGAGTTTAAAATAACACAATTTATAAATACCAATTTTGTAGATGATTTCATTATTTTTTAAATCTTTTATATTTATAGAGTAATTGATCATATGTATCATTCAGATTTAATTAGTTTAATATGAAATAAGCGCAGTACAAGACAAATCATGAAAGTCGGGCGAAGTTTTCATGAACGCATTGATGTGGTCATGTGCGTTAGCGAGGTAGGTACCATAAGATAGGTTTAATTTTTTTTTTTAGTGAATAAGATTTTTCCTTCAACTAAAATTGAGTATGTTGACTGATAATCGTTTTCTTCATTGCATAGAGTATGAATAGATAATGTTATTTTCTTACTAATTTTTTTTATTGTATTGTGTATAATACTTAAAGTTGTAGATATTGATATATTGAAAAAAGTTATTTGCAAAGACACAATCTACTGTACGCCTAGACACGAAATTACTATTCATTGAAAAAAGTTATTTGCAAAGACACAATCTACTGTACGCCTAGACACGAAATTACTATTCATTTAGACTCAATTTTACTGTTCACCCTTCCCCCATTGGTCCAAGCTCTGCGATTGGGCCCGCCTGCGTTTTCTGATTGGTTGGCTGCCTGCGTCTGGGTCCCGCCGTTGTTGCTGTGTGTGCCGCGTTGCCCTCAGCTGCACACTCATTTTCCCTTGCCCTTTTGTTTTATTGTTTTTCTTTCTCTTCTTCTCTCAGCCATTCCCTCTGAAGCCTTCTTTATTACACCGACCTTATCTCTTTGTGAAAGTATCATTCCCCTTCCTTACGTTTCTCTCCGCGAGTGGACCGCCAACTGACGCACGTTACTGTTGGGCCTGCTTATTCTTGGGAGAAAGCAACGCATTGGTTAGAGGAAAGATAGAATATAACCCATCAGTGCATTTAGTTTCACAGTATTTTCCTCTCTCCACTCTCATCTCTCTGCTTTTTTTCTCACAGCACCTCAGAAGCTTGGAGCGATCGACTGGAGAAGGAGAAGCCGAGAGAGGAATCGGAGGAGGCACAAATCCGGTGAGCTTTCAGATTGTGGTTGCGAGCGACTGGGAAATCTCCCAGAACCCGCCACCGTATCAACGCCCAACTCTCCACCCTTCGCTCTCTCCTCCCCGAGCGCCTCAAGGTTAATCAATTAATCAGTTGCACTTCTTCTTCTTCTTCTTTGACGAAACTTTTTGCACTCTAAACCAGCTAATTCCAATTGATTGACGCGATGGCGGAGGCGGTGGACCGCTTGAGGCAGCTGAGGAAGCAAGCAGGGATGAACGGAGCTGAACCGTGGTGTTTGATCCCGGGGGAATCGGACGGGGCGACGGTGAGCTATTGCGGCAGCGGAGATGGGAAGAAGAAGATGATGAGATTGAGCGTGTGCTGCGACGATCGGCCGGGGCTGAACGGAGATTTGAGGCAGGCGATTCGGTCTGTTCGGGCGAGGGCGGTTCGGGCGGAGATCAGTTGAAGTCGAGGAAATCATGGGATCTTTTGGTGAGCTCTTGATCTCTAGAATTTTGTTTCGTTTTTTTCCTCATCAGTGGCCTTAATCGTTTTGTTCCCTGTTGTTTTTTCCTTTTATGATGATTTTGTTTTCACCCTGTTTTTAAATGGGTTCTTTCTCTCTCAAAGGGTTCATTTGATTTCTTTCCCAGATCTGACAGTTTTTGTTTGTTTTGAATAATCAGATCTGGCAGTTGATGGCGAGAGAATCGGGTTTAAGTTTTAAGCGAGGGGTTGGATGTGATCCAGATTCTCATGTGGAGTGGAAAAGAAGAAATGGCTTATGTTAGAGGTTTTCGGCACATTCATGGATATATGTTAATACCCTGGAACCAAACAATAAACTCTTGGTCCTTCTTTTTTCTTTCTTTGGTTTTTCAGTTTTGATTCAGTTAGATGGGAGCTCTAACTGTGGTCTTGAGAAGAACCAGATTTGTAGGTTCTGTTTTGGGTTCACAAAATTTTTCACCTATTCTCCGTTTGATGAATTGGTCTATCTACTCTTCTTACTGTTTCTTCTTTCAAGCTCTCTTATTTCGTATCGATCTTGATTGGTATGAAGTTTGCACACCTCGATGGGTTTTGCTTGATTGCGCTTAAATGGGTTTCGTTGGTGATGGTGTGGCTAACGGAAGTCCCAAGGTTACAAGGAGCCTAATGAGTTCCATTTCTTTCGTTTTGTTTCACTTTCTATTATCCCACTATGCAGAGTTCTGGTTTGCTCCCATTGAAAGGGAAGTGGGACTTCGCCAGTGGTCTTTGTATTTGAGAATCAATGTAAGTGGTCTGCTCCTGAAATTCTCTCATCTTCCTTCTGATAGTTAATCTTTGCTTTTGTGGTGTTTTCATGGAATCTCTCTGCTCCTCTTCGTATACCCAGGCCATTAAAGAGAATTATTTCCAAAGACCGGCACCTACTGTACACATAGACTGAAGATACTATTCATTTAGACCTAAATTTACTGTTTTGCCTCCTCTGATTGGTTGCTTTCCTGTACGTGGCCCCGCTGGTTTTCTCGGTGTGTTGGGGTTGGGCCGGCGATTTGTTCTCCGATTTTTTTGAGTTTGGGCCGGATTTTCTGCGTGGTGCTTTGCGAAGCCGAGCACGTTGCCCGCGGAGGGCCGATGCTTTCCTCTTCTTTCTCTGGCTGTCTTTTCTCGCATACCTTCTTCTCTCTCTGGGCTTCTGGTACGAGACAGGGATTTGACTCGACCCTCCTTGAGAAAGAAATGGAAGGTCAGTTCTTGGTGGTGGTCTCGAGACGAGAGAGGACTCAGAGGAGATAGGGATTTGACTCGACCCTCCTTGAGAAAGAAATGGAAGGTCAGTTCTTGGTGGTGGTCTCGAGACGAGAGAGGACTCAGAGGAGAGAAGTGGCTCCAGTTCCTATCGTGGTTTTCTCAGTTTGTTGGGGTTGGGCCGGCGATTTTTTCTCCGACTTTTTTGAGTTTGGGCCGAATTTTCTGCGTGGTGCTTTGCGAAGCTGAGCGCGTTGCCCACGGAGGGCCGATGCTTTCCTCCTCTTTCTCTGCCTGTCTTTTCTCGCATACCTTCTTCTGTCTCTGGGCTTCTGGTACGAGACAGGGATTTGACTCGACCCTGCTTGAAAAAGAAATGGAAGGTCAGTTCTTGGTGGTGGTCTCGAGACGAGAGAGGACTCAGAGGAGAGAAGTGGCTCCAGTTCCTATCGGCGACGAGTTCGTTCTCTTAACTTAATGTGATAATAGTTAGTCATGGCTCCTTGGATGTTGTATATGAGAAGTGTAGTATTCTAAGTATAAATGAGATAAAATCCGAGGATTGCATGTAGGTAATTGTAAACAAACCACAAAAGTCTAGCTCCATGACTTGTCAGTTTTTTATATCCCTGTCTTCTTTGTGTTCTCAGGTCGTGCTGCTGATACAAAATGGATCCAGATCTTGAATAACCCGTAACAAACCACTTTGAACAAAGATCGGGTTGTGAGATGAATTCATGAGTACGCAATGGTACTGGTCCGCTGGATGCAGTATACGCAGCCCAACAAAGAAACAAAAAGACAGACATTTTTACCCGTACTTCAAGTTAAGACCGCTCGACTATCTCTTCGTCCAAGAAGACGACTTAAAGTAACAGGCCCGTGCCGGTAAAGTAACAGGCCTGTGCCGGTTGAGGAATCCATTTGTCTTCTAGAAAACGGTAAGCAAGTCGTCCCGATTTTTGCCTTTGCTCTGTTACAAGTAGCTTATTTTCTTTTACTCTCAAACTTGCATGCCCGGATATGCATGAATCTCGAGCTAATCAGCTGGAGTATTACGGTTGCATTTGATCGATCTGCCGTTGTTGAGAATGGTGTAGGAAAGTGTAGTCTCGAGGTGACTGTAATACTGATCGAAGAAGGTTTGAAGGCTTTCATCTCTTCTCCATAAAATAGTAGGAAATTATTGTTAATTAATTGTTAATTATCCTTTCATGTTTATATTGTAGTTGTATGTCGCGTCAAGTATTTGCCTTGTGATGCTTAGCAAATTTACCATTTTCCTACGGTTATGTTGTCCTGTTCATCGCTCAACGAGTTCCATCTGTTCACAGGTTCTTCATGCTTTCAAATTCCTTGAGTGGAAATGGTTTTTGCTAATTTTTTGGGTACATTTGGAGCCCACGAGTAATTGCATTCTTTAGTAGGATTAGAATCCACTCTTACTATTTGTTGGCCTTCTTCTCTGTGATGTATTTGAATGGTGACCCATGAATTATTGCATGGTGGCAGAACAAGTGTTGCCTTTGCAATTGCTACTATTTTGAATATATGTATAGAGAATTTCACTTTGATCCTTCTATGTTTGCAGATGGGGTGCTTTGAACGATAAGGGAGATGGTTACATTTTGCTGGCGGAGGAACAAAAAGATCTATGTATAGTTAGTGTACGTAGTGTAATGGTGTTGTTTATGTATTTTTATGATGTCGAATATAACGTTGATTGCCTTGGTGCACATCTCTCTCCCATTTCACTTATCTTTTGTTTGATATTCAGCTTTTGCAAGTACAAGAGGTGCACTATTGAGTAGCTTGCGTGTTGAGTTTTTCCAGTGTTGTTCACGGATCAATAGCCAAGGTTTCTATCCGATTATGGGTTACAACGGTTTTAGAATATAGGCAAGAAAAGAGGAGCAACCAGTTGATGGTTGCTGTTTATTTTAACAAGAAATCGCACGTGGAAGCCACTGCTTTAATTTGAAATTTGACATGTTCCAATCTGTTGCCTAATATAGATGTTTGTGGATAGTCATCTAAATATCAGAACAAACTGACCCTAACAGCACCAAATTTGAGGATTGTATGATGTTTTTGCCTACGTTGAACGTAGCCATAAATGAGGAACCAAGTACAACCCATGTTCTAAATATACAGCAAGAGCAAACTTTAGTTTAATTGTGTGGTATCACCTGGACCATTGACAATGTTAAAAATGAATAAACAATAACAAACTGCGGTTACATGATTAAAGTGTTCTCGAATGAAACATTTGTGTTTTCTCAATTTGCTTCAAGCCCGGGCGCGTATAGATAAATATAAATAACGAGCCCTCTTTTACGATATATAAGTAGATATATGAATTGGGCCCAGTATTCTCATATTTAGCCCGAATAGGAGATGCCTTTGTGCTTATATTAAGTTTCTATAGCTTTTGGGAAGCCCATTCTATAATTGTTCGGTCCATTAGGGGAACAATTGATAGCCCATTGAATATTCAATTTATGATTTTATAATGGTGGTGCGAAAACATTTTAGGGACCAACTTCCACCGCCTTTTTATTTCGGTTCTGATTCTGCCTTTTTAACTTCCCCTGTTCTCTGAACTTCTTTTCCCAGGAACTACAGTGCTTCGCGACTTCCAGATCAGGGATAGTCGTGTATTCATGGGGTATGATCGTCGATAGTTTTCCCTTTTGCATTCTGTTTCTGATTCTTGACACTTTAACAAATTTTTGATCTTCCATTGTCTTTCCATATCAGGCATCTTTGTATAATGCCGCGTGATTTCAAACTTCCAACTCTTCCACGAGGTATCGGCTCCGTTGCTTTCTGTTTCAAGTTTCTATTTATTGGTTTATGAATGAACACTGCTGAGGTGTGAAGTTTTGGGGTTTTTCTATGTCTTTCGTTTGCCACAGACCCAATTTCCACATGCATGGTGTTTCGTGGTCTACATGTTGGTGCTTATACTGATATTATGATCATCCGAGTTCTTAATGTATGGATTGAGCATGGTGATGACTCTCAGGGGCATAAAAGAACAATGCATGTGCTGTGTCTTGACAAAGAGGTCTGCCATTCATCTATATAATGTAATATTTATTGTTTATGTTTGATTTTATTGTAGTAATGCTCTAAATCACATTTAACAGGAACATATGCTAGAGGCCTGTATTGAGGAAGATGACATTCAAGAAATGCAACATAAGTTGAAAGTAGGAGATTTACATGTCCTGGATGGCTTTCATGTTATTCCTGCGAGGGAAAACAGGCGTGTTGTTCCCGCTGAAGTTCGCTTTGACTTAAGGCGTGAACAGATCATATTTTGTGTGCCTGACAATCCGGGTTATCCCAAGTTTCCTGTCAATGCTTTTCTGAAAACTTCGTTCTCGGCTGTTCCAATAGAGGCAGAGGCAGTTGTGAATTATGGAGGTATCTTCCTCGAAAGTTGTTTTCACAAAAATTATTCATGATTATTTGCTTACTATGAATTTAATTGCAGATGTTACAAGTTGCTTTGTTCATCTGACAATTCCAGAATTTTCAAATAATGGTGTTCTTAGGTTTGAGCTCATCATAGAAGACAGCAGGTTTCTTGCGTATTCTTGTGCTGATTTTTGTTTGTTAGACTTTATGTGGGATTAACTGATCTTTTGCTATTTTGTATAGAGGAGACAGGGCGACAGTGTACTACTCTGGAACCAAGGTTACAAAGTATTTGGAGTTTGCAGGGGAATCTGAAGCTCGACTTCCTCTCATTACCACAATTACTGCTGTTACAAGGTTGCCAATTACAGATGCCACTGGAGATGCATATGTATTTCAATCTTCACCTGGAAGTCGTCTGATCATTGCTTCTTACAATCACCATTATGAGAAAATCATAAATAGGTATTATTATATTCGAATTCTATGTTTATATATTGACAGACCTGCTCTGTTGGATGCTAGAAAAACAATACGTACATTCTTTTTGTTGTTTAGGTTCATAGGTGATCGAATGCCAGTGACTTACATCAATAGTACTTCTCGCTGCTCTATTGGTTATCTTCGTGGTCTCCTTCCTCCCAAAAGAACACTCAAGCAGCTAAAGGATGATATAATGTTCCATGCACAGGCCTACCAGGTATGATTTTTGTTGTTTTGATTGTATTAGATAACACATATCCCAAATATATAGTCATGTTTTTTACCTATTATAACACAAATTCCTTCCTTCAGACTCTCTATCGTTGTATGCTGGAAATGACAAGATTTACATACGGTCCAGAAGTCTTTAAATCATGTTCAGGTTTTCCAAGGTATGATTCAATTTTATGTTTTGCTAATAATCTGTTGTCCATTGCATTTCAGGAAGATCAAAACGTTCCTTTTATTGTTTAATTCAGGGTACGATATGAATTACAAGCAACATGTGAGTGTGAGGGAGAATATGTTGATGTTGTGTTTGATCATGAAGCTGTGTTGGGCTTGGTTTGGGTTTCACCCGAGGAACTTTTCAGTCTAACCTATGAAGAAGGATATCAGTACATTCAAGACAGGTGTTATGTGCCTTTTATGGCTGAAGCTTATGTTGCTCCTGGGACTTCAGAAAATCCTCCTACAATCCGAATTGCTTCAATCTGGAACCCTAATGCTTTCGTGTGATTGAAAACTGTTCTACTTGGAACTTAGTTTGTCGGGACGACTTATTTATAATTATGTATGTTATCTATTCAGGACATGTTGCTCTGTTTTCTGTCAAAAAAACTTATTGTTTTCCCCTAACTACTCTGGTATTTTGAAAATTCACCGATGTACTCACTTCAACAATTGACTGGCCGCTGGTTATTCTTTTCGGTCCATATGGAAGTCCCTGATGTTTGTACCTCAATAGTTTAGAGAGGTGAATGTTTTGTTTTGATCATGAAGTCCCTGATTGGGCACATGGAGAAACTACTTTCCGCCCTTAATATTGTATCTACCAAAAAAACTAGCAGGAGACATTGTTTGCGTTTTGAATTCTGGGCAGGTTCTTCATGTTCTTCCTGTTCTTGCAGAATGACACAATAGAATATTTTATCATGCTCCTTTGATCAAACTTTTAAAAGAACATACAAATAAATTGTTTTCACCAAACGACAGACTCCTTAACGTTTTGCAAGACAACAATTTTGGGCCACAAATGAAACTACACCTCCCCTGCCAAATTTTAATATCGGCCCACATAAATGGTTTGGCCCAATTTCACAACGTTGACTAACGTTGTCGACCCTGCACTACCCTACAAAAAGAGATTCTATTTCCAGAAGTGGACTCTTATCCGCCGCTGAAGTTTGCTCCACGAACCAACAGACAAACCCTAAACAAAGGTAAATCGCCTTCTCCTTTTAACTCCACTCACAGAATTTA